ACAGCCGCAGTTGCAGCAGAAGATTGCAGATATGGACTACGAAGAGCAGCAGTCGGTGGCGAAGGCGGAAGCAAAGGCCCGCAAAGAACGTGAGATCGCCGAGGCTGCGTCAAAAAACGGCGAGGAATACCCCGGGCGTTCGTTCTCGGCGGCGAGTTCAAGATGGGAAGAGACCACGAGCAGTTGCCGATAGTAACGCAAGCACCAGAGAGAGGAAGCCGCGCGCGAAGGCATGCGGGCGCCAGAAATGCGGTTGTGTCACCAGCACGCCCGGCGAGCCATGTAAACTGTGCTCACGGGGGGAGCATTCGGCAGGAGAGAAACTATGTGCTGCATGTCACAGGTCGGCGGACGAGGGAGGCTTCACGCACATTGTCAGTCGCATTTTTGCGGCTGACAATCTCTGCGCCAGTAGGACGATTCTACCCAGGAGCGTCGTGCCTGGGTATCGTCCAAAAAGCAGTCATTGCCTCTGCCGACGCGAAGACTGTTTCCAACACTTCGTTGTTCAGAGCTCCAAGACGGGGCTGAGGAGGAAATCGACGGTTGCAAGCGAGCTTTCCCGGTAAAGGGAACGAAATGGTGCACCGACGTAGACGTCAAGGACGGGGGGGGGTCTTCCCGTGAACCTGCTTATCCTCAGGCGTGGTCCAAAGAGGGCTACAGCAACGTGCCCTGCGTTCGACTCCAAGCGCCAGCAGAGCGAGCGAGGCCATCAGGTGCTTGGGTACTGGCAGGATGGCTGTTTGGAGGTGGTGCCAGTACGAGACTTCGTAAGGGGTGGGGGATCGACCCGAAAGGGGGGGAGGGAAGCCCGGGGCACATGACAGCGGAAAACTGCGTGCTATGGCTGTCTGAATATTCTTACGTTGGCACCGACAACATGACGCAAACGGAGAAATGTGGTTGCAAACCGGTCCCGGGTAAGAAGAGTCTCTGCGTGAGGTGCGACTGTCGAACAGCAGGAAATAAATGCTCGCTGGCATGCGTGTGCAGGGCTACCTGTGAACTGATTCGAGCGTCGGAACAGCAGGCTCGGATCGCTGCTGCTTCATCCAGCTTTCCTGCTGCGTCCACTGTCCCTGCTACACCTTCCGTTCCTGCTGCATCTTCCGTTCCTGCTGCCCCTGCCTTTCCTGCAACATCTGCCAACGTAGCCGGAGCCCTGCGTCCACTTTTGGCGGCAAGAGCCGCTAGTCAGCAGGCAGCCGCACAGGCAGCCGCTAGTCAGCAGGCAGCCGCTGGTCAGCAGGCAGCCGCGCCGGATGGTTCGACAGGGGCAGAGGCGAACGAGGAGGGCGGAGAGGACGGGGAGGAGGAGGAGGAGGAGGAGGAGGAAAAGGAGGAGGAGGAGGAAAAGGAGGTGGAGAAGGGAAACGAAGCGGGCGATGAAATCCCAGAATGGGAGTCCGATGCGTCCGACTACAGCAATGCCTTCAGCGACTGGGGATCAAACATGTCGGAGGGCGGGCCGGATGTAGGGTGGGGAGATGCGGGGGGAGTCCAATGTCCATGGGGGGCGACGGGAGCCGTATTGAGGTATGTATCTGCTCCCGTTTGAGTCTACCAACATGTCAACTTGTCAACCACGAATTGGGGGTGAGGCACGGATTTTCTTATTTGTGGTCCGATTTCATGTCTTGAGCACGTACTACAGCGCGCATTACGCCGACCCAAACCCCAGGTGATCTTTATCCACATGAACCAATTCCCATGCTTACCGCGTGCGCTTCCCGCTGTTTGTCGTTGCTTCTTTTGCTTGTGTGTGACAGAATGGTGGCAGTGACGACGACAGGTTCTTCTGTGCGAATTAGCTTATGGTGGAGAAGGAGGAGACCTCGGAGAATGGGGTGTGGGGAGGGTGCGCTTGAGTGGGGGTGGGTGGTAAACGCACGAGCTGGATACATAGGTGGCACCACCACCGTCAGCCCTCCTTGCTGCAATCCTTGCCTTTATCTCATTCGTGATAGTTCGGCTCTGGGGTCCTGTGGTG